CGTTTTGTATTTGTCCGGTCCACGGGGTTAATTTAATTGGGGATCGTTAAAATGATAGATCACCTATCTTGATTAAGCCTGATTCGGTTCGTTATATATATATATTGAAAAAAATACGTGAAAAAAAATTGGTATTAATTATATTGAATGTTCTTGAGTAATCGATAAAATCAGTTTCTGTGTATGTACAAGACATCAATCTGTAATAGTGCAAAATATGTCCAGTTGATATGTCTAGTATGATCATCTGGCAATAGTCTGTAGGTCTGTGTGGTCAGACACTGTGATCGCTTGTGTCGCATTTGCTCCTTTTGACAGTGTTTCGCTCAGGCATGCCTCTAGTTGTTTAAAAGTTTGGGCCTTGTGTCATTTGTGCTTAAAATACGGTGTTTGCTTCTGTCTGAGGTGAAGTGTCTGCTGCAGACGTAAGTGCTCCCCTTTTTAACTGTGAAGTTTGGTCCTTCATCCCGCCGGATAGCCTGAATCCATTTATGTCGAACTTCACCATTAACAGGGAAGGAATGAAAAGATAGATGTGACTGCTTTTGGGCATTACAAAAACAGCCCGGTACACTGCAAGAAGAAGAGGTCGCTGCATGCGTTATTTTTTTTACACCGGCGGAAGTAAAGATACCCTACGATTACGTATTTCCGTTCAAAAATGCGGAAGTTGTGAAAAAGGTCTATTCTTTCGCGCGAAAGGGAAACACACTGACGTCACATACGGGGCACGAGGCTACATTGCGCATGTCATGAACCGTCGAACCGTGCATGCTCCGAACCGAGACAAGCGAACCGAACGGTTTGGTTTTTTTTCCAAGAACCGTGCCATCCCTACTGAATACCTATGGCGGACATATCCGGAGCCGCTAACACTGAATCAATAAAACTCTCAGTCTCCTGAATATCCCATAACGTCGGGATACGTCCCTCTAAAACTAAAATCTTCTCCGTCATCCTAGCGACTAATTGACACTTCTCACAGATAAACGTAACGCTAATAACTGGAGAAGAATAACTAAACATATTGCACTCAGAACACGGAGCAGGAGACATGGCGTTGTACTTTCGTGAAACGGGAAGACTGAAGTTCTAAAGCTGGAAGCACCTTTTTGTTTGAATGGAGATCGTGGGTCGGTGCTTGCGAAGGTGATTAATCCGTAGGGGTTTGGAAAATTATCAGAAGACTACTAAACTTGTGAAGATTTTTTCCGATGACTTAATTCTAATCTGAATCACACACTAGCTGAATACATATATTTACACAGTAAAAATACATTTAGACAATGTTAGACAGTAACAGTAATTATTATATAATAAAATACATTTAAAAATAAAGATTTCTTATTATTTTAATAGTAATAATAAACCATTAATAAATTTAATTATAATAATACTGTCGAGCCCAGCCGGGACCTAACGGAGACAAAGACGCAGACGTCAGGGTATCGGGGAATACGGGGTTTAATTACAGGTAAGGCAGGCAAAACGCAGATAGACAATACAATGACCAGACTAGGGAAATAAACTGAAACGCGGACTAAATACAGAGGACTAATGACAACAACCAGAAACAGCTGATCACACAGCAATTCCACACGGGCTTAACGAGGGGGCGTGGCACACGGAAGGAGCGGACGATCGGGGCAGGACACATTGTCTAGGTATGTCACTATCACCAGTTCTGCGCCATAGGGGCTTTGGCAGGCAGCCT